CCTACGCCTGCTGCCAACGAAAAACTCACATCTTCAGCCCTTTCCTCCATCCCCTTCCCGGGCCCGACGCGCCCCGCGCCTTTGCGCTCTTTCTGCGCTTGGCGGGCGGCAGCGACTCGATCTCATCCATGCTCATGCTCGCCGCCTTGGCACCGCCGCCGCCGCCGCCGCCGCTGCGCTTGGGCACGGCAGTGGGCGTGCAAGGGCCGGCTTCGGACTCATCTTCTGCTTTCCTCCGTCGTAACAGGAAAGGCGGGGTGTTAGCGAAGGGGGACGCAAGGCTTGCACACGGCAGTGTGCGGATTTGTCAAAGCCGAGCGCCGCAGCACCCCCGAGCACAGGTTGTAGCAGGTATACACCCCCCCCCCCCCGCACAAGCCAGTGTGGCCGCCCTGAGGGAGCCGAGGGCGGAGGGGGGGAGGAGACAGGCGCCAAAAAAACGCACCGAGTTCATCCAGCTCATCCATCTCCTCGTCATCGTCCAGCATGCCTGACGCCGGCGACGAGGCCGCGTCGCCTGCTGCTGCCGCACCCACGCCTGTGCCCGCGCTGCTGCTGCTGCCCGAGGCGCCAGCAGCGGCGGCGGCCGTGGGACGCTTGAGGGTGATTTTGAAGGACGACATGTCGCTGCTGCTGCTGATGCGAGACCACAGGAGAGAGAGGGGCCTGCGTGTGACGGCGGGGACGAGGCGGGTGGTAGCGCGTGGAGGAGATGCGCAGGCTGAGGGCAGCCCGCGCGGCGGTGGAGACGCTGGGCTGAAAGGACGCGCTGGTTGGCCGCTGCCTACGTGAGCAACGAGGGGAGCAACGGCGACGACGACGACGGGCGGCAACAGGCGGAGGTGGTGGTGAGTGGACAAGGTGCGCTCGCCGCGCCGCCGGCATCGAGGAATGGCCTGGCCTGGCCCCGTCCCAGCGTGCCGCCGCGGTGCAGCGCGCGCGCGACGCAACGCGTGCGGCGTCTCGTCGTGCCCCCGAGCGCGCGCACCGAGCGACTCAAGGCTCGCCGCATTCCCCCATGGCTCGCCTGACCCGCCACGCCTGCGCAGTTTTGAGAGCCAGGCTGGCGCTTGGACTCAACGTTACCTGCATTGTGAGCGCAACCGCGGCAGAGATTGCGCGAGGGGCGTCGTGGGCAGCTTGCGCTGTCGCTGCCTCTGTCGCGCTTTGATGCCTCTGTGCGAGCAACGTGGCAACGCTACCTACTCCCCCTCCCCGGCGGCTCCTTCTTTCGCCACTCCTCAGGTCTTGCAACAGCAGCGGCCCCGGCCATGCCAGACGTAAGAGAGATCGGGTCTATGAACATTTCACTGAGTCTTCTTCGTCGACTTCTCCACCTTCTCCACGCCCGCCGCGTCCGCCTCGCCCTCCTTCTCTCCCTCGCCCGCGCCCGTCTTGGCCACCACCTGTCCGAACTGCGCACGCAAGGAGAGAAGCATGCTGTGAGCGCCCGTGCAAAGGAGGGAAGAAGGGCACGGAGGAGCAAAAAGGGAGGACGCACCTCATTGATGCGCGAGTCATCCACGCCGTAGATCCAGCGTTGATAGAGGGCCACACAGAAGACGAGATCGTCGCTGTTTGGCAGAGGGTTGGTGAACGCGTGAGCTGGGGCCCCGCGCGGGGGGGGAGGGG